AAACTCAGCAGCTTTTACAATCAAATGTCTCTCTGCAGTTAAAAATCCCAAAGACAATATAATCCAGACTCTCTGTGTAATATCTGATTTTACATGGCTTATTTTTCTATATTAACCTTACTGATTCTTTAAAGACTTTATTTTTTTAAAACTCTTTTTTATGTAGTCGTCTACATTTATTTTTTCTTTTTTTCAAGCCTACATACATGTTTACATACATTGTAAACCATTTAAAGTCATATTCCACTGGATCTTTCTTATTGTGAATCTATTGTTTTAAACTGAAGTTGTTAGTACTGAAGCAGCAGCCTTGGTTGCTGACCCTACCCATCTCAGCTTCTTAACATGGTAGAGATAACTCAGCATTAGCTCTGGGAGCCATGCTGTCTGGTGACTCAGGGAGGCAGTGGGTCTATGCTTCCATCTAGCAGTGTGTAGCTCAGAAGCTTCTTCTTCTTCTTCTTCTTCTTCTTCTTCTTCTTCTTCTTCTTCTTCTTCTTCTTCTTCTTCTTTTTTTAACTTTTTTTCAGTAGGAGTAAAAGCTATATCTACCTTGCACCATGTTGCATGGCTTGCAGAAACCTCAGTGTAACTCAGCAATAACCTGCCATGCTATAGCTCTATCTTGCATTCCGTGAACCTGCCACATCCAGGGGACACATAATTGTACCTAGGCTCACCATGAGTGACATGAACTAAGAACGTGCTCTTAGCTACATTTATAATCTCTTCTTAAGCTCTCTCAGCTTTTAGGTGGACACTCTTGCCCCATGTTGAGTGCTATCTATAGCTGTAAGTTTTCCTGTGTCCCACCCAGTCTGCATCCACTCAGACCCATGTAAATACACAGAGGCTTGTATTAATTAAAACTGATCAGCCATTACCTCAGGCTTACAACTGACTAGCTCTTACACTTAAATTCAGCCCATTTCTGTTAATCTATATTTTGCCACATATTCCATGGCTTTACCTGTGTGCCATTGCATGTTCCTCCCTGAATGGCAGACTGGCATCTTCTGACTCAGTCTTCCTCTTCCCACAGTTTGCCTTATCCTCTTACCCCACCTATACTTCCTGCTTGGCTACTAATTTTATTAAATCAGTTTATAAGAGCATTATCCCACAGCACTATCTTTTTAGGTTTTTCATTGGATATTTAGAGTCTTTCATGTTTCAAAACTACTTTTAGGAATTTTCTATTTCTGTGAAAATATTATTGAGATTTTATAATACTTATAATGAATCTGGATATCTTTATTAGTAATATAGCCATTTTGATGATATTAATTCTTCTAATCCATGAGCATTAGTCTTCCCATCCTCTAGTATTTTATCCATACACTTAAAGTCCCAATTATGGGGTCCTCATGTCCACACTTAAGTTTATTTCTAGGCATTTCTGAAGTTGATATGAATGGCAAATTTTCCTAATTTCTTTATTGGTAATTAAGTTTCTTATTTGTATACAGAAAAGAATATTACTTTGGGATGATAAGTTTTTATGCAGTTACTTCCTTGAAAGGAGTTATCAGTTCTAAAAGTTTTACAGAGATGTTTGTAAGTTCTTTTATATAGGATGGCATGATCTGAGATAATTTGATTTTTTAGAATACAGATTTAAACATTATTTTATATATGTGTGTATTTGTATATGGTTGTGCACCTCAACTGAGGAGAGAAAACCCCTGAAACTGGAGTTACAAATAGTTGTGTTTTTTTTAAAAAAATGTATTTATTTTTGACTCATGATTACTATGAGGCTTAAAGAAAATATTTTACAGAAATCTATTTCACCAGAAGAATTTATCATGACTTAAACTTTCAATGCGAATTAAAATTACATGGGCATTGCATGTGTGTATGTATAGTGTAGGTGTATGTGATTGCACATGTACACATGTACATTTTATGTGGAAGCTTGAATTAATGTCTGGTATCTTCATTGCTGTGATCTTTCTTTGCTTTTTTTATTGAGTCAAGGTTGCTCAAATGAACTCAGAGCTCATGTTTGGCTCATCTGTATAGGATCTTGCTCTGAGGATAACCAGCTTCTGAAACCAGTCTCATTTGACAGATTTATCTTGATCTTTATTCAGTTAAAATCTTCCAGAGCCGTGGTGGCACATGCCTTTAATCCCAGTACTAGGGAGGCAGAGGCAGGTGGATCGCTGTGCGTTCAAGGCCAGCCTGGGCTACCAAGTGAGTTCCAGGAAAGGCACAAAGCTACACAGAGAAACCCTGTCTTCATAAAATAAAATAAAA